GAAGCTGATTTAATAAATAAGCAGTTATATGTTTGATAAAGGTGCTGAAATTAATAATAAGTAGCTGAAACTGTTTGATTAAAAAGTGCTGATAAGCTCTTTTTATATTAAAATGACTTAAATGACCTTATAACAATTTACACTACTAAAACGTGATTTTCTTCAGAATTTTAGATTCTAAATAGAGTCAAATACAAAATAACCTATTTATCATGTTATTTTAATTATAAAAATAATTAAATAATATCTTCTTTTATAAATATAATTTATGTTATGATAAGTATACAATCATAAATTAGAACAGGTGGAGTATAAATTAACAAAAGTTAAGAAATAGTGATGACTTTCAACGAGAGAAGTACACAAGAAAGCATTCAAACTGTACCTCAAAAAAAAAATAAGAGAAAGCATTCAAATTAACCTTGTACAACACTCTTTTGTTTTTATACTACTATTTGCTTTACCAAATCCACGTAAAAATATACAACTAAAAGAGTAGGAATCTCTTACTTGAGGCTAAAGTTAATAAAGTCACATAGGTATAACAATATGAAGAAGACAAGTGAATTTCGTAACCTCAAATTGCCGACAGAAATCTGAAGAATTGCAGAGGCACATGCTTTTTAGGTTTTTGAAGAACTGGAGAGAGTATAATTATACGGAGGAATTTTGTTTTGAAAAGAATTATTTTAGGGATAAAATAGTAAATATTTTGGTCAAACCTAAAGTGCTTATAAGCTGAAATTTGATAAGTTTGGGGAGACCAACTTATGGTTTTTTGCTTATTTTTAGCTTATAAGCACTTGACTTATAAGCACCTTTAATTTTACCAAACACGTAGATAAGCCAAAAAGTGCTTATAAGCCAGTTTGACCAGCTTATAAGCTTAGCCAAACACCCTCTAATTACTTTATAGACAACCGTTTTTATCCTCAAACTTCTATTGCAAAGTCACTTTTAAAATTATCTTAATTACACCTACATCTCCTCTCCTCCATAATAATTACACCAATTGAATTGAAAGTTGCTTGATAAATTCAGTATCCACTGAAACCAATTGCAGCAAAAGATACTACTACTCCATCTCAAATCAGAGAGAACGAAAAGATAAAACACACATAAAAGTATCGTAGTTCTTGCCCCTTCTGATTCGCAGCGTATTTGCGTAGCAGTTTCCACTGATAGTCTCTATCTACATAAGATTTTGTGATCAGCCTACGTTTTGATAATTGTTGTCCGACAAAGTGTTACTTCATTTCTCAAAAAGATTAAATTTCTATTATTGTATAAATCATTGACTATGTTCACAACAGTTTCTTTTTTCTAGGTGCGGAATGAGAGGCATGCATATACAACTTTAAAAAATTCAAAATTCTCACATGTGCTTACACTGTGCAGGAAAAACCAACAACGGTATACGCTGCCTTTTTGCTTTTTCTATTTTCCTTCTGAAGGTTATGTGAGCTAAAAACAATAAGAATGAGAAAAAATATAGATATTTTGTTGTTTCTGTACCAGATGTTCATTTGAAGGAGCAAAGTTGATGTGAGATCACTAAATTGCAAGAAAATATGGAAAACAATAATTTTCTCACAAATATACTCACTTTTCCTGACAATAATTAATGACTAATTGAGGGTTTACAATGCGGCCATTGGATTGATCTCTTAAGCAAGAATCGGTTGTTTATTTAATACTCCAGTAGTAATGACATTTTGGACTTCTCTCTTCTTTTTCTTTTTCTTTTTTTTTTTGTTATTTGGATGTCCTCGAAGGGACATGACTCATGGAGTTGTCACATTAATTGAAATGAGTTTAGGTACTCTTCTATTGGATAATTGTATAGCTATACTGATAATTCAAAATTAATAGAGCTTGTGCTTAATTTGGATTGTTTTTATGGGTGATATGTAGTTGAAAATATACCATCTGGAACCGGCATGTCTTTACATATAAAGGAGGCTATATTCTTGAGTCAGGAAACTTAAGAACTATTGTGGAATCTTACAGAAGACAAAGTCGTAGGCTTCTCAACAACATTGCTTATATCATAGTTGAAATTTGTTTTGTGGGCGTAAAGTCGTCCCTCCTTGTCCAATGACCACTACAGGTATAGTTTTTTTCAATGGCTTTATTTAATTTCTGGTGCATTATGTAAATTTATGTTGGTGATTGTTGTACAAGAACATTCATTATGTGACTATTGGAGCGTAGAGATAAGTTTGTAAACAACGATTAAACTGGCATTTATTTTTTTGCCATTATCTTTTTTCTTTTTCCCTATTTTTTCTATTGATATGATCATAAGTTAGAAAAAATAGAATTTAATTTGTAACAGATTTTATATGGACATTTATCTTCAGAAGTTCACTTCCCAGCAACCAAATTTCTAAGAATGCTGAATTTGAGATATACTAGAGCTGGTATTTTAGCCAGCAAAGTTGATATTGTTGAGGTATCTTTGCTATTCACACTATTGAGGAAGAAGGTAGTTAAAATAAATTGATGTGAAAACGCTCTAATAATATTGTTGTTCTTGCCTTTTAATTGAGATACTACTAATATAATTTCGTGAACAAAAAATATATATATCTTGAATGTTGAAACCAAAAAAAAAAAAAAAATCAAAGAGGAACTACAAATAAATTCTTTTCCTTCTCCTATTTCTTGATTCTTTGCCTCTCTGGTGCTTGGATCTTTTTTTTTTTTTTTGAATGAACTATTTTTTTCAATTTATTGGATTGACGATGAGAACATTGAAAGAGAAAGAAGCAGACTTCTTGGGAATTTTGCACAGAGTTAGGAGAAGAAATTGGAGATTTGTAAATACTATAAAGAAGGGAGCAAAGTATTTTATTTTACATCTATACATTTATGGTGTATAAAAATTTATTTACAATATCATGTCATATTTACCTATTATAGCAAATAAGCAAATAATATATTTTATTTTTAAAATTATAAATTTTTTTTATATTAAATCGCATGTAGATATGTATATAACTTAAATTGCAATTATTTGAAGTAACTGTGGAAAAGGAGAAAAAAATAAATTTATCGAATATAGTAGAGATTTAAAGAGTTTTCAAGAGTAGATGAATTAAGAGGAGGGAAGAGGAAAGAAATCAATAATGATCGCGCAGAAGATTCAATGACTTTTCTAGAATAGGAGAATTGGTAAGGAGTTTAAAAAATATATTCAGAGAAGAAAAGAAGAATAGTTGAAAAAAGGAAAAGGAATAAGATAACAAATAGATATTGGAAATACAATTCAATGGACAGACATCCCAACTTTAGATGTCACTTTTTTGTTTATTTTTTAGTTGCCTTGCATTCATTTCAAGTTTTATGATTTGAATAGAAGATTCTTTTTTTTTTGAAGGAAAAACTATAGTTGTGCTATCTAATGAAAGAATATGCATGTGTTTAGATATGTATTAGACTAAGGAAATAAATTCTTCTGTGTTTGAACTTCTATACAATAATTCATAATATATAGGGCTCACGCATTCTATAAGCATGAAGAACCGAAACAAAATATTTCCTTTTATGAGAAAAAGAAAAATTAAGGCTCAACAAGATGCAATTTTCTTTGTTGACCAATGAAAAAAAAAGATGTCATCCTTTGTGTCCTAATTTTAACAAAAAAAAACATATTCTAACATATAGACAAAATATGTTCTTAACGAATTGTCATTATTTTTTAATTATTTCAACAAATGATAATTTTTTATATATTTATATATTTAATTATTTAGCAAATACTATTTCAGATCAAATAGATATCAGTAAGGTCAATTACAAAAAAAATATTAACAAAAGAGGAAGAAACTTAAAAACCAGGAAGAAAAATAAAACTTGAGTACTCATGTAGGTTTAACCAAAAAAATTTATGCAACGCACAACAGAAAGACGTACATTAGCAAATACTATTTCAGATCAAATAGATATCAGTACCACTCATTCAATTACAAAAAAAAAACATTAAGAAAAGAGGAAAAAACTTAAAAATCAGGTATAAAGAAACATAAAAACTTGACTATTAATGTAGGTTTAACCCAAAAAGTTTGTGCAACACACAACAAAAAGACATACATTACAGATTTTTTAATTAAGGTTCAATGAAAAAGGGTTAACAACTATTTACTAAAGATAATTTTAAACTGATATTGGTACATGGTATATCATAAATTAAAATCAAACTGACAAGCACAAAAAAATTACCTCCACACACGTCCACGTTATCAAGACTTTATGATATAAATATGAAATACTGGCTCCTTTTATAGAAGTGTTTAGCACCTTATTCTAAACGGTTATGATTTTAAAATTGTAGAAAATCTAACCTTTTTTTTTTGTGTGTATCCTTTGGCAATTTTAGTAAAAGAAAACTAAACCTAAACTAACATTAATTGATGCTTCTTGTTCGATTTTGGTAAAGAATACCAAGCCTAAAGCAAAAATAAATGCTGCTACTGATTTCGTTTTGGTTTAAAATTCTACACAACAAAAAATTAACTTTGTAACCTACGAAAATTATTATACGTACAAAAAGAATACTAAACCTAGTGTCATTTATTTTGTTGTTCCTTATTTACTTTTGGTTTAGAATTCTAGAAGACCAAAAAGTGGCTTTAATTATGATAAAAGAAACTAAATCCAGACTAACATTAAATATTGCTCGGTAACTCTGGTTAAAGAATCCTAATCTAAAATGACATTAATTACGGGAAAATATAATGCTAAAACCTAAAGTGACATAAATTGTTGCGCAATTTAATTTTGGTTTTCTCGAAATACCTATTTGTATTATAATTACGGATTTATCCAACATAAATTATATTTATAAAGGGTAAAAAAGGCGAACGACATTTCGCTAAGCGCTTTCGTACTTTTAATATAGTATAAATATAGATATATAGATAGATAGATAGATAGATATAGATATAGATAGATATAAATATAGACTAGACATATATTTCTGTTACACATCTATCCCACATTACCGGGGATTATTATTTGTAATCCCTCGTAACCAAACATATGAGCTGCAAAAAAGCATAAACCCATCACCGAATGTAAACTGACCTCATTTGTTTCCACCAAATCAACTGTTTTTCACTACAGAACTGAAAAAAGACAAAGGCGGCGAATAGAGGGAGGCGAAGATCGAACGCGCAAGGAGAATCAATCAGCCAATTGGTATTTCGAAGCTTTTTTTAAGAGATTTTTCCCCCAAAACCCTAGCTTTTAATTCCTACAACTGCTTCATAAAATTCTTCCAATAAGTCTTCTTCTCGTATGTCCACTTTCGTATTTTCATTTGGCTTGTGGCTCATTGATTGCAAAATATGAAGATTGCTCATTTTCAGCTCTTTTATTCCTAGGTTTTCCCTAATTTTTTGTTGTATGTGGTAGTTTACAAAATTCACAACTGTTCGTTCTTGGTGATTTTAGGTTTGAATAAACCTAAACAATTACTAGCTATTTGACGGTTTCTCTTGTTTGTTATGTTCTTCTTGTTAATCCATTAACAGACCACCTTGTATAAGTATATTACATTTCATCAAACTGTGTCTTCATTAAGAGATTTTTTTTGTCAAATGGTGGTCTAAATAGTATGACTATTTGTGATATATTGCTGTATCTTTCTTTTTAAAAGCAGAGTGAATTTCCAGTACTTTAGATGCGGAACTTTTTAATATTGGTAGTTGTAGAATGCATAAGGTCCCATTATATAATGAAAGTCTTTATGCTTTAACCGCTCTCGAACTTCGTCTGGAACAAGTAACTCTATAAAGAAGGAGATTCATCGTGCTTTGTAGTCGTGAGCAAAGGCAAATCCATAATTTGAATTTTATGGATTATGGCGAGCCCAGCTCATAATTGGCGAATTCGTAGGTTCAATTCATACTGGGTGCACAGTGCACACCGATGGGGCCCTCCTATAAGTCTATTGGAATTGGCCCCCCTTGATTGCCACCGAATCTACAACCCATTTATGCTACTGGGTTTAGAGTTTATTGTAAGTATATATTAGTGGATTGCTCAACACATATATAGGCTTTGGCCCGAAGCTATTGGTTCTGCCGAACCCGTACCATATACGTATATCCGCCTTTGGTTGTGAGTCTTGAATCTTGGTTTTGTCACCATCTTCGCATTTTTCATCAATTTTAGTGAGTTACTTTAGATGGCCACTGTACATACTTCAAAGGCAATGAATCAATAATTTGTGAAATTGGATTTATCTGATGGCACTATCAAATGATACAACAAGAAGTAGCAAAACAGGGTTATGCTTTATTCAAGCCTACTTATTTATCATTTATTTATTTACTATCCTTTGTGGTTTTGGTATAATCCAATATCTATCAATGCTAGGATAGATGCATCACAAGGTGATGATCTCGTGTTGCAATTGTGCGGGAGGAAAAGCATAATTGCTGTGGTTACAATTTGGTATTCTGATGCCAAAGAGTATTGCGTGAGTTGGCATAACTATATCACATGCATGAGACTACGTGAAATTCACTTTCTAAGAATGTAGAATCGAATGAGTCTAGAGAGTTGGCTTATACACATCTTTATTCTTGAAAGTTTTTATATCATCAAATTTTAAGATTCATGGAAAATGAAATTCTTATTTGTATATGAAACTGTACTCCGCTAGATCTTCATGCTAAATCTAGTACTTTCTGTGAGGAACATGGTATTCAGTGTAAAGAGAATTCATACCACCATGATATGGTTAATTTATTAGTTTTATGTATGAACATATGCTATAACTTATGGGATCAAGCTATTCTTGATGCTTGTTATGTCCAATATAGGGGTCGGAAAATGAAGGTTTCGAGTTATAAAAGGAAAAGAAACCGAAGTTTGAAATACTTCAAAGTGTGTGGTGTTTGGCCTTCAATAGGGTCACTGATCTACGAGTTAAATAAATAAGAGTGAAAAGATATATGGGATATTTGCAGAATATGCTCAAAATCTTGATATTATTACCTATATAATTGATGGAAGACGATATGCAACATTATTGAAAGCTACTTTTGAAAATCCTCAGCTGGATGGTTATGATTCTAATTAGAGTGGTTAAACAAATAAACGTCTTTGTGGAGAGAATACTATGGAACCAAGAAAAAACCAAAGGATGAAAAAAGAAAAAAGCCTAGGTCCAACTTTATTTCCTCATAATCTATAATTTTCTTTTTTTGACTTTTGAGACGTAATTTTTTTCATTGAAAAAAAAAGAACATTTATGCTGGGATGACATGGAGACTCTAGATGATGGAGCCAAGGTGGCGGTTGTAGCGCCTAATCACCAGAGTCTGTGAAAACATATTCTCTCTGGTAGAACCTCTGTGAATCCATGTACTTTTGGTTGTGTTTAGGCGCCAACTGATGGTGCCTAACCGGCAGTCTCTTTGAAGTTTTTTTTTAGATTCATCTGTTATCGCCTAAGCACTGTTATTTGGAGCCTAGGCACTATACACCCAGAATGTACTATTTTAGGGACTTACACCGTACAAAAACATTTTAAGCCAACAAACAAAAGGAGAAGCAAGAGGAGAATGAGTTACTTGTATAGGACCCTTCTTAATAGTTAACACTCTATCCGATCACCTATATGGTCTATTGGTCTTTCATGTCTTGAAGTTTTGTTTGTCATCTCCACGCTTTCTTGTTTCTTGAAAACTATCTTTTCCCAATCACAAGCTCCTCCACATTAAGTTTTAAAGCACAATTTGTTTTTTTTGGGTTTTGTGTGTGTGTGTGTGTGGGGGGGGGGGGGGTGGGGGGTGGGGGGGGACTTCTCAAGCTTCCGTTTCTATTCTCAGTTTTACTTTCCGCTGAGCTCTCCCTGTCTATCTCCAATTCTTTTCTCTGCCTCTGTTTTGCTTAGTTGTTCCGTGAACTGCTGCCCTGGTAGGATTGCTGTCTTTTGCTGTCGTCATTTCTTTATGTGCTTTATTCCCAATAAACTTTTCCTTTCTAAAATAACTTGAACTGTTTTATTTAGGTGGCAGACAAGGTCCAATGACGCTGTTAAACGATGCTTTTCATGCTCTCTTTTTTTTTTTTTTCCCTTTATACGAGTTTTGTCCTTTTTTCCTTGTTGCTATTTATCTCATCATTTGTAATTCCTTCCTCGGAGCTGAGAAAATTGGAAGCAAGAACAATGGTAGGAATCGTTTATTGACCAGCTAAATCTTGCGTCTTTCAGTTGATTGCTTTTCTCTACTCATCTCGGAGAGGAAGTTATATCATGTGAATTTTCGATACTTGGACATCTTGCAAGTGTTTTCTTTCACTATAAACTTTCTCAAAATTTCAAATGTGCAGATAGAAGTTATTCTCATCCTATGATATTTGTCTTAAAATTAATGCTATCAATAATCATGGAGCATCTTTCTCTGAATGACATAAGTCCTAAAGACAATTTCCGTTCAGATGAACACAGTGTATTCCTTTTTTAAAGTTCCTTTTTTCCTTTAAAAAACCGACTGCTGTCGTTTGAGAAATAGTTGTGGTAAGTAGTTGGAATCTCTTTTGATTTGCGACTTTGAATGTCAAAAGCATATGCTTGTGAGATTTTAAGTTGGCAACAATTTTCGAATGCTTTTTGGTGACAGTCAAGGAGAAAAGTTGGAATTGCACTTGTAAGGAGCCAGTTCACGGGTTAACTGTAATCTGATCGGGTGCTATTTTCTACTGTTTGTGAAGGTTTTCTGTCTCAGCTAACGAGTCTGGTCAAGACTGGGCAAAACACACAGGAAATGGCAAGAAATATGGGTCATCTCTTGAGATCGATGATTGAGCTTCCAGTATCCAAAGTTGGTTTTCCAAAGAACTCAGCTAGTCGACTCATTTGTTCTTCAACTCAAGGAGCGCAAATCAAACAGGATCGTCCTGGAGAGCATGATCCTCGTACCTCGGATGAGAAGGAGAAGGTTGATAACAAAAATGAAGGGAGTACTGAAGTTGAGGGCGAGAATGATGAAGGGGGCAGTGATCACATTAACAAAAAGACTGGTGAGATTGGAGGCCCTAAAGGTCCTGAGCCCACCCGCTATGGCGATTGGGAGCGTGGTGGTCGCTGCTCTGATTTCTGATTTCGTTTCAGCTTTTGATTCAACTTCCATCTTATAGGTAATGACTTACCTGTTCGATATGTGGGAGACGAATAAATAATAATGTGGGTGACAGTCAAAATAGTCATGTTATGTTCGAAGTTCTTTATTTTTTCCTGATGATAGGGTTGCTCCTCTGGTGCTTGAATGTTGCAATCATTATTGAATAAGAGCAGCCGTTACATGATTGTAGCATGCGTAAGTTTCTGATAGTATAGGTGATAAGTCTTGTTATTTGGAAGTTGTGATTTTATTTTGTGCCTCACACAACTTATACTAGTTGTGTGAGGCCTCTTTTTATCTCGCATATTTGTGAACGCATATCTTACACATTTGGGTCTACAAAATTCTGGGACCACACAGTTGTGAGACAAAAAAGAGGCCTCACATAACTAGTGTCAGTTGTGCGACGCACAAAATAAAATTTTTCCTTTATGATTATGGGAATGCCTGGCTGATGCGGCAATATTGCAGTGTATCAGTTAACGATAGTAGCTTTTAGAGGATTGTCTGATTTGAAGTTTTCTGATATTTGGGACATATTTATGCCTCTTGTCCTTCTTTTAAGCTAGCTACACTTGTTTTCCAACATATAGGGATCACTTTTGAGGCTGTCAGAAGTTTAACGGATAAGACGATTTAATGGTCTTTTCATTCAAGTAAAGGAGTTGACAACTCTCTTGCACTTGTAATAATTGCCTATTGCGTATGGTGACTTCAATCATTCTTTCTATAATGAATTCAATTATTATTTTTCCGAGGTCTCATTTTTCATTTTCTAAGTCAGTACCTACTGGGTACATGGATTTGTTAAGTGAATTACAATGACATTGACTAAGCCTATTTTATAAAGTCAAGAGTCAATCCAATGTTATCTACTTCTAATTCGGACTTGGTAAAATGGTCATCATTTTCTTGATAGAAATGATTTTTCTCCTTCCCCCTTCCCCACCACCCGATTTTTGCAATTTTTTTTCCCGGAAAAACAAAGCATTCATTAATCAAAACCAACCGTCAATGGTACAAAACCAGATGATGCCTCGTTGACAATCCAAACAGGAAAGTTGTCAAATCAAGAGACTTCACTAAGTAGTGAGAAAGAAAATTTATACTTAAAGGATACATCACTTAGATGTTGCTGAAGTACCCAAATATCCTCGCAAACAGTATTAACCTCCTGATTTACAATTGATTCTACTTTTTCTCCTGCTTTTTTTTTTTTTTGTTTGTTTTTGTTTTCTTTGCTGTCTCAAGTAAATACGAGCTTTTTTCTTTTCTCCCTTGTAGCGTTTCAACCTGAAGTATTCGCAGTAACGTTAGAAATGACCCCTCAAACCTTACTACTCTGTCTCATTTTATAGGTGTTAAGTTGACAAGACACGAAGTTTAATAATGTAAAGAATTTTTTTTTATTATGTGGTTTTAAACTAGTGGTGTATGTGGCATACCAAAATACCTTTTGAACTTAGTAGTCTTAAATGTCATATATTATTTTTACAAGGGAGTGTTACTAAAGGTAAAATAGGAATGGTAGAAGTAAAAACTTACGACTAAATATAAGAATGTAACATTCTTTTTAAATGAGTTAAAAAACAAAGTGAAATACTAGAAACGAAGAGATTAGCCGTTAGCTACTAATTAATATTTTGCTAGATTGACATATGTAGTAGTAAATGGATGAAAAAACATGGTAAGTAGGAAATCAGATTTGAAAGAGTTGACCAGGAATATAAGCTAAATTAAATTCGTCATACTTCTCATAATACTTACCGAACGACGTGAAACTAAACTAATATTTATGTTTAGGTAAAGAGTAGGAAGTCATTCTCTTTCATCCTTACTGTAAACCATTCTTGGGAGAAAACCTATCCATGAATTATTCTGAAAAAGTTCCAGGTATTGTTTTAATATTAAATTACTACTTTTCTTCCGTTGACCTTATCATTTACATTAACACCCTTTATCATGTAGAAGCCAATCAATGGTTAAAACTAGACTTGTTTAACATATAGTAGTACTACCATTTTACAAGCCAAGACTCTGTTTTAAAGCAACTCCATGGAATTGCATAAAACCATTGCTCTGTTTCTTCTCCTCTCTTATTATTCAATTACCATAGTCAAAAGCACAGATATTTGCTTTACCTCTGCATGTCGCAGGGACGAACCTTTGATTCGTTTCCCTTTTCGTCTACAGAAAATCCAATCCCAAAATTGTGGCTATTCAGGTTTCAACTTACACTGTGATGCAACAAACCAAACAATTCTTAAGTTACCAAATTCATCAGGAGAATTCACTGTTCATGCTATAGATTATTCTACACAAGAATTATGGCTTAACGACCCAAAAGATTGCTTACCTCAGCTTCTTCTTAAACTTAACCTTTCTTCTTCTCCATTTTCTGGGGTTTATTATCAAGATTTTACATTGTTCAATTGCTCGTTTTCTTATACAACGACCAAGCTAAATCCAATAGCTTGTTTAAGTGGTTTAAATTATACGGTGTATGCTACATCTTCTATGAGAGGAGCTAGATTGTTGTCAACACCATCATGTAATTTGATTGGAACTATTGCTGTTCCAGTTCTGTGGCCGTTTTTTGAACAGGTTTTGTCGTCAGATCTTAGTGATGATATCAGGCTGTCTTGGGCTAATCCAGATTGTAGAAAGTGCGAGTCTAAGGGTGGACGATGTGGTTTAAGGAAAACCAATTTTAGTCAGGAGATCGTTTGTGAAAATGTTCGCCGACGCGGTAATATCCATAACTTCATCTTTTTCTTTACTTTTTAAAATTTCTCTTCTTTTCTCTAATTTGGCTTTTTTGTATAGTGGTATTTTTATGCTAAACTATGATAGAAACAAGCAGTCATATTCATTGTTTACTTTTTTTCTAGCCATATACATAAATTATAAATTGATTATACACAACTATACATAGTGGCGGACTCACAATTTTATTATAAGCGGGTTCAGTCTTAGAAGTACATAATTTTAGTCGTAAAATAGTAGTTGTCAAGTGGGTTCAAATAAAATATTTATATAGAATTTACACAGCTTTAATCGTAATTTATATATATACACAGTTTTATTTTTTGATGAAGCGGTTTCAGTTGAACCCGCTTGCCAACACGTGTCCGCCACTGATTATACACACGTAATACATAAATTACGCATATATTATATCTCCACCGGCTATTTTTAGTTTAAGTGGTTGGCGAGTTAATTAAGTTTAATAACTATACGTGAAATCATTTTCTTTCTTTTGAAATACCTCTTATGTTTCTAATTTCTTTTGTGTACGTAGTTAGCTTTTTCATATGACATAGGTTTAATTTTTCGTGTTATCTAATAGAAGTAAGGTTTTATGCATAAAGGTCTGTTTTGGAAGTCTCACTAACATTTAGGGTAATTAACTTTCTGGTAATTCAATCTTCTGGAAGCAAAGAAATCCCTACCTCTCTTCACATGTTTAAGTCGACAGCTGCCTTGGGAGACTTTGTTCATTTCATGTGGTTGGTAGTCCAATAGTATATATTAGTACTGAAGAATAGTTTAATAATCAACTAGGGATACAGTTTCTAATTAATATCTGAATATGCATAGATCCATAATGTTAAATATAATGTAGTTTTATTCAAAATACTTGAAGTTGTACTTTATCCATCAAGGTCGGGAAATAGGCTCAAGTTAATGTCAAACGAAAGGGAGAAATTCTTAGGTTAAAAGTGGCTTCAAGAGAAGGGAAAAAAAGAGAAAGAATTTAAGTTTTACGTGGAAAAAAAAAAACTCATATTTACATAATCGGATTACTTATGATTGTAGATAGTATTATTTGATAAACATCCATTCTTCACTTACAATTAATGATAGGTAGCATGCTATATATTAATATGTAAATGTTTTTTTACGAAAAAAAGAAGGGGTATTATCACTTTTAGACTGCGTCAAAAACTATTTAAATCTGGTAGCCAAAAAAGTATATAATTTTTGTATATAACATACACACATATATATATAAATTTTATATATTTTTTCGGCTATTATTTTTACAACGGTTATGCAATGTCATTTTTCCTTAATAATAAGCCTGCTGAAGTGGAATTTGAAGCTATCAAACGAATGACTTTTAAGTCAATCATAAAAGATAAAAGGAATAAGATGCAAAATGATTATTTGGATGAACTTGATGTGTAGCAGCTGACCCCATCATCTGACTTTTTAAGCTATTTTTCATTATTTTAGTGGCCTTTGTTTTCGACCGTCGTGGTGGTTTTGTATCTTTATGTTTCATTGCTCTTTCTCTTTCTCACTCAATAGTTGTATTTTAACCCAAAAGAAAAAGAACTTAATCAAACGCCTTTCCCTTTGCACTCAATATTCTGCCAAAGTTTGACTTAGGAATTGGAGCACTATGTTTGAGTGAGTCAACAGTCCCACATACGCAACCACACACCCATTCTTCTACGCAGAGGCGGATCTACTTTAGCCCAAGCGGTGTTACGTGACACCGCTTCGTCGGAATTTTTTACTAAATAAGTATGTATAATAAAACTCCGACAGGAAAAATGAAGATAAATATAATAAAGTGACACCACTTGATAACAATAGATGTGTAGCACAGTTGGTCAGACGCTTCATTTTTCTTGAATACGTTGCTTGTTCGAATCTCTGTGACTTCATCTTTGTTTTAAATTCTTTGTGCCTCATTTTTGAAATAAAAAAATGTGGAGGTTTGAACCAGATCTCTTATCTTAAGCATTAAGACATCTAAACCAATAGATCCCATTATTCATAACAAAACAAAAAGTAAAAACAAAACAAAACAAAACAAAACGAATAAAGAAAAGAAAGAGTGAAATCAAAGTAAAGCTCCCATTATTCATAAAAAGGGTTAATAATACCCCGATTGTTTGATAAATGGTTTAAATTTACGCTCTGTTGGTCCAAAAATACACACAATGTTATCTTTCGGTGTATAAATACCTTCGCGACTAACAGAATATTGTGTGGTCCCTTTTTTAATGTGTTGGCAAAATTTTATTGGGCCACGTGGCACTTCAGCCCGGATTGAATAAACCTGCCCCAGATTTCGACCCGGGGCGAGTTTATTCAATCCGGAAGGGGTGCCGCATGACCCAATAAATTTCTGCTAGCGCATTAAAAAGGGGATCACACAATATTCCGTTAGTCGAAAGGATATTTATAGACCGAAAGATAACGTTGTGTGTATTTTTTTTACCAAAAGGTGGACAAAGCATAAAATTTAAACCATTCACCAAATGATAGGGATATTTTAGGCCCTTTTCCGTCTTTTATATTTATGCTATTCGCGTTAGCTTTGCACGCATTTTAACTTTGATCTGTCACTTCTCACCTGCACATGTAACGCTAATGTTTTCTGTGCTGTTATGTTAGATCAATTTTATTAGCTTTAGTAATGACTTGATAATTTTGCAGGGCTTCCTAAAGGCGCGCGCTACGCTATAACAGTGGGAGCTGGGGTGCCGGCAATGTTATTCGTAATTGGGCTTCTATGTTTCATATGTGGAAGGATAAGGTCTTGCAGGAGGAGAGGTAGAGCCCAACCAATACTAGAATTCAGTTCTACTGTGGCACCACAGCCCATTGTATTTATGGGCCTAGATGGGCCCACAATAGAATCCTATCCCAAAACTATCTTGGGAGAGAGCCGACGTTTGCCCAAGCCCGATGATAATATCTGCCCAATTTGCTTGGCTGAGTATGAGCCCAAGGAAACCTTAAGGACAATTCCTGAATGCCAACACTGTTTTCATGCAGAATGCATAGATGAATGGCTTCGGTTAAATGCTTCTTGTCCAGTTTGCCGCAACTCCCCTAAGCCCAAGCCATTATCCCTTACTGAGGTTCCCTAATTATGTCTCATTAAGTGTAAACTTCATCTTTTGATTTATGATATGACTACACGAGATGAGCCTTAGTTTAGTGAATTAAAGTCGGCCTCGTGTAATGGGAATCCCGGTTGTTGCGCACTATGTATGTATAATGAGGTGCTCACTACTGGTTGTTTGCTTTTATTGTTGAGAAATAGATGTTTGGAATTCATACTCAATATTCTTGTGAAAAATGAGAGAAATATCCATAAAACTTTTTTTTTTTCATTGTTTTTGGAGTAAAAGCTAATAACGATATCATCCTCATCTTACATGCCAAATGGCCAGTTATTCAGTGTCTGGTTCGATAGGACCAGGAAGAAGAAGGTTTGGCAACTGGCAAGTGAAGGGGGATTCCGCTATAAGAGAAAGAGTGTCTCGATTCGATCGTTCTGATCCGATCAGGACAAGTGGGTTGGTTCGTTTCGTCCTCCTATCTACGCAATTCTCTATCTTCGTTCGTGATCATGTTGGGCGAAAGGTAGTTGTAGAGGAGCGGCTGCGAAATGGCGATTCCCCGTTTTCCATTGAAGTAGGGAGGGCTTCCTTCCCTTTGTTTCTTTCTTTAAGGTGAGAAATATTATATATCACAGTTGCTCAATTCAAACTTACACCAGTTCCAAAACTGCTTCCAAGCTCACTGCCGAATTGGCTTCCTTCTGCAGTTGTCCCCATGTTTGACGAATTTATAGAGCCGAAAGGATTTGCTGGCATTATGGGTATTCCTTCTCCTTCTAGCATTTGAATCACAACTTTCATGGATGGTCTATCCGCTGGAGACCATTGAATGCACCAAAGTCCTATAATTGCTAGTTTCTCGATTATGCTGCTGTCATCTTCATTGTCAATTTGGATTTCTATTTCTTCCTCTTTCTCCAGTTGTTTGTACACCCACTCTGGGTAGTAAATCTTACTAATATCATTCTGTTCATTTGCAACTTCAAATTTCTTCCTTCCACCGATCATATCAAGCAACAGCATTCCAAAGCTATAAATATCTGCTTTATATGACACATTTCCATTGTTCCTGGAGAACACTTCGGGGGCAATATAGCCGATGGTGCCTCGAGCCGCTGTCATTGATACAGCACTTTGGTCCTTGGAACATAACTTTGCCAGCCCAAAATCTGCAACTTTTGGATTGAAATCTTGGTCTAGCAAGATATTATGAGGCCTAATATCAAAATGTACAATTCTTTGATTGCACCCTTGATGCAAATACTCGACCCCTTTGGCGATTCCTACAGCTATGTTGCATCTTTTCCCAACCTAGTGACGCGTTTCCATTCCATGATGATATGATCTTTTGAAGCGTATCGTTTTGTAAATATTCATACACAAGAGCTTGCCTACATCCATCAGCACAATATCCAACTAAGCGCACAACATTCACATGGTGAATTCTGCCTATGCTGCCCACTTTATTGATGAAATCTTCACCATCGCCCTTGATTAAGGACCTTAATTGGTCAGCTTCCCTTTGTATACTGCAGAGATATCAAGTCTAGTTGAGGGTGTTTGTACAGTGTGCTATTTAACATGTACATTTCTAGAATAGTCTATTAGTCAACTTGGTTAAGACACATTAGTAGTTCTGTATATATCAGAAACATACTCCTGTACAGATTAGTCATGTAAGGAATAAAAGAAATACAGTTTTTTTTCTCTCTCTACGATCCTCTATGTTACTCTCTGTATTTCATCTCTTCTCACTAGATCTTGCCTCTATGACCATGGCAGATCTAGCTTGATTTTGACATGGTATCAGAGCGGGTCGAGTACGATCTGTAATCTAAAGCTGCTGGTAGTTCTCTTCTTCTCAATTTCCTTCTCAATTTCCCCAAATCGAGTTCTCTTTTCTTCGTTTTTTTAGCCTTAATTTCTGAATATTGACGAATTTTTGCTGCGATGACGGGTGATTCTTCACAAACTGGAGTCGGGTCTTCACATGCAAACAGTCAATTGCTCGATTGCAACGATCCGCTGTTCATTCATCCCTCAGACACGCTGGGGATTGCGCTGGTTCCTCAGCTGTTGGTCGGAACATAGAACTACTAGGAATGGAGTCGTTCTATGAAAATGTCACTTTTAGTGAAGAACAAAATAGGTTTCATTGATGGAACCTGTACTAGGGTAAAATATGAAGCAGATCCATTCAAGTTGCACCAGTGGAATCGATGTAACGCCATTGTACAGTCGTGGATGATGAGTTCACTCGCTCAAAAGCTTAGGAAAGGTATTGTTTACTCCTCAAATGCACAAAAGGTTTGGGAAGCCTTTAAAGAAAGGTTTGACAAAGTGAATGCAACTAAGGTGTATCACATGAATAGAGAAATTGGAAGTCTGACTCAAAGAATATCCAGTATCTCAATCTATTATTCAAGGTTAAATGATCTATGGGCTGAGTTTGAGTCGATTATACCATTTCCTGGGTGTGATTGTGTAAAATCTAGAGAATTTGTTGTTTTTCTGCGCCAACAAAAGTTGATGAAGTTTCTAATGGGGTTGAATGATACATATGCACCACAAAGGAGCCAAATCCTGATGATGAATCCTACGCCTACAATTGATCAGGCTTATTCAATGTTGATCCAGGAAGAAAGTCAGAGATCGAGTGGGAACTTGGGAACGCAAAGTGGAATCCTAGGGAGTGCACCTATGGATGGAGAATCCAGTGCTATGATATCAATCAATGCCTCCAATATAAGGCCTAGGAGGAATGGGAACGTACAGTGTGACTATTTCCACATGAAAGGTCACACAAAAGAGAACTGCTACAAGCTGATTGGTTATCCAACAGGGCCTAAGTTTAATAACAACAATAGGAGAAGAGGAGGCTATAATGGTGCTCCAGCAATGCCACACAATGCAAATGTGAAGGCACAAGAGGAGATGTATACTGCTGGGACAAAAGGCATGGAACAAACATGAAGTTTAGCATCAGCACCTATCTTTACCCATGATCAATATCAACATATACTTATGTTGCTGGACAAGAACAAAGGATCAGCTGCAATAGAGATGGCAAATATGGCAGAGTCGACTGCAAATGAGACAACTAATATGGCAGGTAAATCCATTACTAACTATGGTTGTTGGATAATTGATTCTGGAGCCTCAAATCATATGGCTTCCTCCTTGCATCTGTTTTCCCAATCACAATCCATATCCTCTAATTCTGTTTCCAATTCTGTTCACTTACCTAATGGAGATAGTACTAAAACCACTCATTCAGGGTCTTGTTCCTTGCCCAATTCACAAGTTCTAGACAATGTATTATATGTTCCACAATTCAAATATAATTTGTTGTCTGTCTCCAAGTACACTAAGGATTTAAAGTGTTTAGTAGCTTTTTATCCTGATTTCTGTCTGTTTCAGGACCTCTTCAGTGGCAAGGTGAAGGGGATTGGTAGTGAAAAGAATGGGCTGTACATTCTCAATCCTTACACACCTGCTGCCGCTCCTATCTCCAAGTGTTTGTCTTCCTCTCTTCAAAATAACTCAAATGTTCTGTGGCATCAAAGACTTGGTCATGCACCACAGAATGTTTTACTGAAAATTCCTACAATTAGAAATCACTTGTCAAAGTCTACTGATTGTAATTGTCCAATTTGTCCTTTAGCTAAACAAACTAGATTACCATTTCCTATTAGTACTTCTAAGTCTACTTCTGCATTTGAGTTGGTACATATGGATGTTTGGGGTCCATATAGAGTCTGTACTCATTGTGGCTTCAGATATTTTCTTACTCTAGTTGATGATTACTCTAGAATGACTTGGACCTTCTTGTTAAGAGTCACAAGTGATGTTTTTGTTGTTCTGAATGATTTCCTTCAATTGATTGAAAACCAATTTTCCTCCAAAGTTAAAACCTTTCGATCAGACAATGGTTATGAATTCTTTAATACACTTTGTTCCACTCTTTTCAAATCCAAAGGGATTATACATCAAAGTAGTTGTGTACACACCCCCAACAGAATGGGGTAGTGGAAAGGAAACACAGACACCTTCTTGAAGTTAGTAGAGCTTTAAGATTTCAAGCCCACATTCCTTTAAAATACTGGGGTGAGTGTATTCTAGCAGCAACTTATATTATTAACAGACTACCCAGTAGTGTTTTGAATGAAAAAACTCCTTATGAGTTGTTCCATGGTCATCCTCCTAACCTACATCATATGAGAACTTTAGGATGTTTGTGTTATGCCACAAGACCCAATTACTGTGATAAATTTTCCGCCAAGTCTTGGCCTGCTATCTTCATGGGATACTCTTTACATCAAAAAGGTTATAGGTTCTATGACATTGAATCTGGGAAATTTTTTGTCAATAGAGATGTTGTGTTCAAAGAACATATTTTCCCTTTCAAATTCCCCAGATCTCATTTCCTTCCTTCCAAAGCTTCTCCTTCTTCTTCTTTCCATCCTGAACCTTCTCTCAACCCTATACCTACACCTTCCCTTGATTCAGTTTCTTCCATTGAGTCTTCACCTTCACCTGTCTCCCCTGCTCCATCATTACCTACTATTTCACCTGACACTATGCCAACCTCTCCTACCCCTTCTCCTACCTCTGCCACTCCTGTTACTACCACTTCTGACCAACCTAGACGATCAGGAAGGGTCACCAGACCTTCCATCTGGTTGACTGATTATGTACATCCTCCCTTACCCACTACTTCTTCTTCCTCTTCCTATCCCATTCAACAATTTGTTTCCTATTCTCACCTACCCTCACATTTTAGGTCATTCCTTGCTTCTTTTTCTTCTGATACTAAAGGATGCTAGGTGGGTCAAAGCCATGCAATTGGAAATTGAGGCTCTTGAGCAAAACCACACATGGGAAGTAGTGGATCTACCTTCTGGTAAAATTCCCATTGGGTGCAAATGGGTGTACAAAATTAAATATAATGCAGATAGTTCAGTAGAAAGGTTCAAATCCAGACTAGTTGCTAAGGGCTACACACAGCAAGAAGGTCTGGATTTCCATGATACTTTCTCCCCTGTGGCCAAGCTTACTACAGTCAGGATTGTAGTTGCTGCTGCAGCCCTTAAGGGCTGGCCTATTTTTCAAATGGATGTGCATAATGCCTTCCTCAATGGTGATCTTGAGGAAGAGGTCTACATGTCCCTACCACAAGGCTTTAGTAGCCAGGGGGAGCATAAAGTATGTAGACTACTAA